TGAAAAAGGTTTTGTCAGTTTTTGTTGAGAGTGATGTTATAAAATGTTTGACATCGTATCGGCTCTCTCACCTTTGATCTCATAATGTAAATGCAAGATTTGAAACTTTGATATATCTTTGTACACGTTTCATTGATGTTGGACACTTTGTACATTGATTTCTTGGTCAGTACATTATGTAAGACCCCATGAATTGGCACTTACTAAGTGTATTACTGTATTAGGGTTACCATAGTTTCGAAGTAGCACTAGAGATAATAAAACTTTAAAAAATACGATATACTTTTTTAATCTTAACATGTTTCAGCATTACATTATGCCATCCTCAGAAGAATGAGAATAAAAGTCGTTACAAATGATTATATAGTCTAGGTACAAATGATTGACATGTAATATAATATGAACTAAATGAACTTAGCGTGACTAATAAAAATAACATTATTGGTATAACAGTATTGGTTATCTTGTTTATTATTATTCTTGTTATTCACGCTAAGTACATTTAGTTCATATTATATTACATGTCAATCATTTGTACCTAGACTATATAATCATTTATAACGACTTTTATTCTCATTCTTCTGAGGATGGCATAATGTAATGCTGAAACATGTTAAGAAGATTAAAAAAGGTATATCGTATTTTTTAAAGTTTTTTTTGTATTAGGGTTACGGTTAGGTTTAGGGTATGTACATGTATTGCGTCAGGTATTGCATGAAATATTAACTGATGTTTCGCGTCATTGCATTATTACCTCAGCTATCTCAACATTTTAAAACCACTATCTACTTTTCAAATGAGTAAATACAAACTTTTCTTAATCAAAATTTGTTTTTTTTTGTATTAGAAAATCATTACAAGGCATCCAAATTTCAATACTTTCAAGTTGTTAGAATCCCTACATCATTATGGATGGTAATGAAGAACTTTTCTCGCTTTCKACTCTTGTTTCGGGAGTTTGTTCTGTGACATCTACTCATGACACAGGAAACCCAAGCAATCAACCCTTTGAACAACAGAACAATTCAAGTATGGATGGCAGTAGAGATATTAAGAAAGAGAGAGACAGCAGTGATATGATAGAAAATAGTTCTGCAAACATCAAGCAATCATTGACCAGCAATTCATCAGCWGTGGATCAACCATGTGGCWACYGGYYCRGTCAGCAGCRAATGGWTRACRGYGAAGGATTAATTGACATTAACAACATTAAACAAGAACCTGAAGAYGATTATAAAACAGACAACTATCCAACAACAACCAGTAATTCATGTGTTGACAATGATTCTGCTCAGGACATGCRATCATCCTACACTGACTTAGGGGACTCTTCATGTGTGATCTGCKTGCAGTGCAACAAATGGTTTGACKGTATGAATGACTTAAAGACTCATGATCAAATAGTGCACAGAGGAGARAGACCTTTCCAATGTCAAGATTGTAGCATARCGTTCACTGATAAAAAAAGTTTAAACCGTCACAAGAAATTACACCAKAGTGAGAAATTTGTCAGAAAAGCTTCCCCAAGAAATACAACTCGTCGACCTATTACTACTTCAAGGACWTTGTCAAARGATAAACGTTTTAAATGTAACAAATGTGAKAAAGAATTTTCAAGTAAAACWTCCCTAAATAACCATCAAAAAATCCATCTAAGAAGTGCTGAAATGAGCAAAAATAACAACCAACAARCAAATCAATTTSAAATGGAATCACAAGTGTCGCAACAGCTRCAAGAAGCTAACAACAATTTACAACAGCAGCAGTATCTTCAGGAAGAATCTCAACTACGAAAGCAGTCTAAAGGAGCTATTAGCCAASAGCAAAMAAGCCCAGAGCACCAACAGAAACAACACGACWCAGCGGAAGGAAAASCCCCTGACAAATCGATCGTTCTTCAGCTTTTTCTGTGCAAAGAATGYCGTATATGGTTTAATGATTTCTCAGCTTTAGAAAGTCATTACCTAAGGGTACACAAGGGAGAGAAGAGCTTGCAACAGCATGTCCTACCGAACACTGYATTAACACTTAATAACAAACAGCTATTACAAGTAAACCAACAAAACAGCAAAGAAAARGAGCATCAACCACAACCACATCAAAGGATCGGTAAGGAAGATACCAACAAACAGCATCACCAACCACAACAACAATATCCATTGTACCAACGTCAACAAGAACGTCAACAACACCCACAACAACAGCAGCAATTACTACAAATACATCATCAGCAAAGCCTACAGCAACAACARCAACCAGCTGCGACAGGAMCAAAAGAAAAAATCYACCACAGTAATTCAACTGTTGAGCTCTTTGTATGCAGGGAGTGCAATAAATGGTTTAGTTGTCAATTAACCTTAGAAAATCACAATCTAACRGTACACAAGGGAGAGAAATATCTACAACGACACGTCATGACGAACCCTCTRAATGGAARCGGCAACAAACAGTCTCATACTCAACAATTAAATCCAGAAAAGAGTTCAGAAAAAGAACGAAGAAAACCTGAAGCTTTGTCAGGGTCAAAGCAGAGATCTCCGATMGCTGATWCTAAGCATATGAATACATTCTTTCTTTGTAGGGAATGTAACGTGTGGTTYTCAGGKACACTGACTTTAGGCATGCACCACGCATCTATGCACTGGGGAGAAAAGCGCGGTGAGCARACATTTCAAATGAAGACACTCAATGGTAATTTTGTTCGGGTTCAAAGCAACGAAAAAGAGAAACAGCAACAGAAGAAGGACATWAAAAGCCAGAATCGACAACAAGATTCTCTGAGCAAAGAACAAATAATCGCAATTGTTGTAACTGCTAGTGATTCTGCTGAGAACCCTGAAAATTCGTCTCACTGTCTGAAGAGCATTGAATTCTTCTTGTGTAAACAATGCAACAAATGGTTAAGCAGTAGAAAGAATTTGCAATGCCATAAGGAAAGAGCACACGAAAAAGAAAACCATAGAGAACAACAACGTCAACAAGAAAGTTGTCAGCAAGAACAACAGCAGGAGTACGAATGTAGCGGCGAAGAACTACAGCATCAGTGTGATAGTACAAAACAGAAACAGTGTCAACTACAAGATAATAGCAACGAAGAAAAACAAAACGAAAACAAAGAACAATCACACAACCAACAAGATGAAAACAATGAGCAACAGCAAGTCAGCGAGCAAAAAGTTGACAACTTAGAACAACAGTACAAACCAGGTGACAGCAAAAAACAGCATGCTAKCARCAAWGAACAGCAACAAAGTACGAACGTAGAGCGACAACATGAAGTCAGCAAAGAACMGCAACAAGGTGACAGTGAACAAGACAAACAGCAATTATGTGAAAGTAAAGAAAAGRAACAGGAATATGAAAGTATAAAACAACAACTACAGCAACAAGGTGATAACCAAGGAGAGCAATTACAACAAGATGGCAKCCAAGAATACAAGCAACAAGGTCGAGAACATATCATTGAGCAAGCAACTCAGAGTTCTTTAGACAACCCTCAGGACATTGCCTCCATACTCTCACTTTGCACTGTCTGTTCAATCTGGTACAGTACAAGAAAAGAACTGMAGRWTCATCAGGACACGAAACACAAGAGAAGTATATMCAAGTTTACCGGAGAGAATAACCACAAAGAAGTCAACCACCAAAATCTTAATCCTGTCAATTCTACGAGTGGTWCATCATCCCAGGCGAATAASCAGATTAAAAGAAAGAATGAAGWAGAGGAGCACCCAGAAATAAAACACCAGAGGCTCAATCCAAGTACATCACAGCCCTCGGGAATGAACGGCCAGCATGAAGATGAACAGGAGAACGCAAACACTGTCAGGTGCAACACCAGTACATCATACCAAAATCCTCTTCAGTCTACCTTGAAAATCGTCTTCAAATGTGTAATATGTGAACTGTGCTTTACAAATAGTCACGACTTAGATTGCCATAATAAAAGGCATGTGGAAAGGCCATACAATTGCACAAAATGTGCTAAGCGATTTGCAGAGAAGTCCCTGCTRGAAAACCATTTAAATGAATGGCACAAGCCGTTTACATGTAGTTCGTGCCAGGAGCACTTCTTCAGCGAAGATAGTTTGGAGAGCCATGCACAGACACACCAGGAAGATTACTGTCAAGACGTATTCAAATGTGGTACATGCCTAAAAGGGTTCAAAAGTATTTCATTATTGAAGGTYCACTTTCAATCACGTGACACATTCAACACAACTCCTCGCACTYTAAGGGAATGTCAACTGAAATGCCAAATTTGTTATCAAGAATTTGAGAAGAGGAGAGATTTTYTMGAGCATTTGCCCGAACACAGGAAAAATACAGACTATAAATGCCATCTTTGCGGAGAAGAATTCGAGGACAATTACCTATTGAAGCGACACTGTCAAGAAAAGCACAATGACACGAAGATATACAAATGCTCCGTTTGYARTGAAGCGTACTCCACCAAATTTAAATTAAAGCGTCATTTTGTCAACCACTCTGATAAYAAATCACAATGCCCAATCTGCAACAAAGTGTTTATTCGTCCATTTTCCTTGACAAATCATGCTATGGTGCACACCGGAGAGAAAACGTCCAACGAGAAGCCGCATGAATGTACAGTCTGTGGTAAAACCTTCATATACAAGAGYTATCTAAAGCTTCATAGTGTCAGCCACAATAAAGAAAAGGCGTTTAAGTGCACAGTTTGTGGTGAAGCCTTCAATTACAAGGTCTCTTTGAYGCGTCATGTTTATAGACACACAGGAGAGAAACCGTTTAAATGTACAGTTTGCGATAAAGCATTTAAGCGCAAGACTTCTCTTGAYGCYCACGGTTATACGCACAATGGAGGAAAACCATACAACTGTAGCTTTTGTGGCAAAACGTTTTCTTACAAGTTTTCTTTGAAGTGTCATATTGATAGGCACAATGGAAAGGAGCCACAGAAACCGTACAAATGTTCACACTGCGATGAAACTTTTAAACACAAAGTGTGTTTGGATTTCCACCTTGATAAGCATGCAGGAAGGGCCCACTATCAGTGCACGGTTTGTARTAAAACCTTCACAAATCAGAACACCTTTCAGAGACACAGCGATTTACACTCTTCAAAGAATCTGTTTGAATGCACAGTTTGTAGTAAAGCTTTTACCTCGAAGAACAACTTGAAAATTCATTCTTTTAAGCACTCTAGAGAGAAACAATACAMGTGTGCACTTTGTAATGCACCTTTYAGATACAAGGTCTCTTTGGAATACCATCTTAATAAGCATGATGGAGTGGAACCATATCAGTGCACAATTTGTAGTAAAACCTTCACCCATCAGACGACTTTTAAGAGACATCGCYACTTGCATGGCAAAGAGAAAGAGGTTACACCGTGTTGCAACGTGAAGCCATTCCAATGCACAGTTTGTAAGAAAGCTTTTAAATGTGAAAAGAACTTGATAACTCATAGGTCCAAACACACCGGAGAGAAACCATTTAAATGCGAAATTTGCTCTGAAASCTTTGCACATAAGATTTCTCTRACTAACCATTCTTACAAGCACTCAGGAGAGAGACCACACAAGTGTTCAACTTGCAGTAAAGGATTTACAACGAAAAGCACTTTGACGTATCATCTTAAATCTCACGATCCTGAGAGATATACTTGCACACTGTGTGAAGAAAAGTTCCCAAAGAGAGCTCTCCTGAACAAGCACAAGGTAGAACACAAYGGGAARAAAGAATACAAGTGTCCAATCTGCAGCAAGGTCTTCAATAAGGGCTGCAATATGCAGCGGCATTATACAATGCACAGTGGCATAAAGCCATTCAAGTGTTCAGTGTGCGGTAAAAAGTACTTTGAGAAGGCTGACCTGAAAAGCCACTGCCTTAAGATCCACATGAAGTGGAACGAATCCGTTAAAAAAGAGCACGCCTGTCCCATTTGCAATAAGGTCTTTGCCAGGAATGATATCATGAAGAGGCATTATAGATTGCATAGTGGTATTAAGATGTTCAAGTGTACTGTCTGTGAAAAACAGTATTGGAAGAAAAGTGATTTGAAAAAACACTGTCTGAAGATTCATGAGAAGTGGAGTGAAGAATTAATTGTAAARCAGCCATCCAACTTTGATGTAAAGGAAATATCAGCTTCACCTACACAATCTAGTGATCCACATAAGACAATGATCCAGAAGGACTCGGACAATAACCAAGTTTTGAAAGTTACTGTAGAGAAAGGTAAAACAGCCCTAAATGGCTCGCRCACTAGCCAAGTTCCTGAAGCTACTGCACGGAAACGCATAACACCCTTGAACTCTGAAAACAGTCAAGTCCCTGAAGTTACTACAGGGAAACATAAAACACCCCTGAACTCTGAGAACCAAGTTCCTGAAATTACTGCAGAGAAAGAAAAGCTAAACCACAAAAAAGCAGGACCCTTTGAATCTAAGTTTTGCAAAGGATGTAAGACATGGTTTGGTCGTCAAAGCAAGTTTGAWAACCATTCACACAAGAATGAAAGACGTTTTAAATGTMAAGATTGCGAGAGAATGTTCATGCATAGCAACGCTTTTARGATGCATCAACAAACTCATGTAAAATGACCACACGAATGAAATGCTTTGAACTCTCCAGGGAATGGAATTGATGGTCAACTGCCCATTGGGATCCGCCCATCCAAGAACTTGCATCTATACTCAAAATATCTGTAATAGATAACTGTTAGACAACCCCAAMTAACTCGTTGTTATTTKTATTAGGCAATAAMSRAAAAWWMMAAAA